GCCAAAGATGTCCTGCCCTCATCCCTAGAATATATTCTCTTTCCAGATATGGTTAAGAATATGGACCTTGAAATGGGGAGGTAATTGTGAATTATCCAAGGGGGGCCCAATCTAATCACATAAATCTTTAAAAGCAAAAAACCTTTCCCAGCTACAGCCAGTGAAGACAGATGTGACGATGGAAGAAAAATCAGAGAGATGCAACATTGGTGGCTTGAAGACAGAGGAAGAGGGCCATGAGCCAAGGAATGCAGGTAGCCTCTAGATGCTGGGAAAAGCAAAGAAACAGATTCTCCCCAAGAGGCCTCCAGAGAGGAACACAGCCCTGCTCACACCTTAACTGTAGCTCAGACTTCTAAGCTTATGAAACTGTAAGATAACAAATTTGTGTTGTTTTAAGTCACCCATAATTTGTTAACGGTAGTGATAGAAAACTAATAGAAAAGGCAATCCTCCTTTTCAGCATGGCCCTGTAAAGGGGTGAACAGGCATTCACTGCTGGACCCCCAAACCAGAGAGATTTCTTATTCTGGCTGAAACTGTCCCTCCAGTCCCCCTTCCTCCCCTTGCAACTTGGCTGACTTTGTCATCTTTCAAGATTCCACACAAACTTTCTCTCCTGTGAAAAATCTTAGTTTTACCTACAGAGGCTATAAATTTCCCAAATGTGAGGACCATGTTATATTCTTGGTGAATGTTAGTTTGAACGATGGACTTAATTAATTATCATTTGATGGAGTATAAAAATAAGGGCCAATAAAACTACTTTCTTGTTACTGCTTTTAATAAAGGAATAAAATCACTTGCTAGGACCCGCCTACATTCACAGCCATGAAGTCCTACCTTATTCCTTCTCCTCCTCTCTTTGGACACACACACACACACACACACACACACACACACAGAGCCTGACAGAGTTGAACCCCAGTTTCTGACTGTTCAGAGTCAGGTAAGTAAGCAAGATGTGCATCCCCGGTGAAGAGTACAAGCTGTAGGGGGTCAAAGACTGAACCCAGAAAGTTGCAAGGCACGGGAAAAGTTCTAAAATGTGGAGATTAAAGACAGAGCCAAGGTTTGAGAATTAAATAACAGAACTCAGTGTTGTGCTGGTTTTAAAATATGTCTACAAATACTCTGACACTCCTTTCTTCAAAAGGTGGAGACTAAATTCCCTCCCCTTGAGTATGGGCTGGAGTGAGTCCCTTCTAATGAACACAATATGGCTGACATGAACAACATGTGATCACGTCGCAAAAGTCATTACAACTTCCTCCCCTCGATCTCTTTCTTTCTCCTCCCCCCTCCAACCTCCTCATTATTTGCTCTAGAGGAAGTGATTTGCCAATAGTCACATGAGTGAACTGTCTTGGCAGAAGATTCCTAAATCTTCAGACAACTGCAGACCCAGCCCACAACTTTTTTTTTTTTAATTTTATTTATTTATTTGACACAGAGAGAGAGAGAGGGAGAAAGCAAGCACAAGCAAGGGGAGTGGCAGGCAGAGGGAGAAGCAGGCTCCCTACTGAGCAGGGACCCCGATGTGGGGCTCGATCCCAGGACCCCGGGATCATGACCTGAGCCAAAGGCAAACGCTTAACCAACTGGGCCACCCAGGCACCCCCACCAGCCCACATCTTGACAACCACAGGATGAGTCCGTGAGCCAGAACCATTCAGCCAAGTTTCTTTCAAATTCCCAAACACAGAAACTATGAGATAATAAATGTTCGCTTTTTCCAGCCACTAAGTTTTGGAGTTATTTGTTATGCAGTAATAGATAGCCAATATGTATGAGACACAATCCCTCGGGCAGAGGCTGCAAATCGGAAGTCAAGATCCTAATTCAGTCTACAAATATATTTTCCGCAGCTCATCATGTTTTTTATGAGCCAAAATTTAAAAATCATTTAAATTCATTTAGAAATCTCGATTTCCAGTCTCTCTCTCAAAAATGTGCAGATCTGGCTCCCTGCTCGGCGAGGAGCCTGCTTCTCCCTCTGACCCTCCCCCCTCTCATGTACTCTCTCTCTCATTCTCGCTCTCTCAAATAAATAAATAAATCTTTAAAAAAAAAAAATGTGCAGATCTGGCAACACAAAGGCCTGCACTCTGGTCTGGCGGCTGTGAGTGAGAACTGAGGATCTGCCTTCTGCTATAGGCTCTCCCGAGCTCCCTGGAGCCCCCCCAGCCCCACTAACTATTCATCTCTTCGCCGACTCTAACAGCATGGCTTTTGCACTGCTCTTTCTCTTGTATTAGAAAAATATTTTCTCATGTCTTATATCTCTGTGAAAACTAGGAAAGATAAACTGAAAGGGCTTATGTGTCTTAAGAAATCTAGAACAGGGGTGCCTGGGTGGCTCAGTTGGTTAAGCATCTGACTTTGGCGCAAGTCATGATCTCGGGGTCCTAGGATCGAGCCACACGTTGGGCTCCATGCTCAGCAGGGAATCTGCATCTGCCCCTCCCCCTCACGTGCGTGCTCTCTCTCTCTCTCTTTCTCTCTTTCATATAAATAAATAAAATCAAAAAAGAAAGAACACTTATTTTTTGGTGGGAGAGAAGAATATCCCTGCATGCCTAATATGCCATCAATGAGCATCTGCATCAAATACACACAACTTAAGATTCCAGAAGATTCTAGAAGCTTTGTTCATTAGGCAGATGGATTGGCCCCCGTAATGAGTTGGCTAAAGCTGCTCTTTCTCACCCTGGGCTCTTTGAAAAGGGGTTAAGGTAAGGAAGATGAGTTTGCTAGATTTGGCTTTGAGCATCTTAAAGAAGCCACCAACATGACACTTTTCCTCTCATATTGCTTGTTTTGAGAAAAACCTTGTTGAGAACATAGTAGCCATCAAATCTTCTGGTTTTGTACTTACAATAATTGCTTAGCTTCAGCTTCTTACTGCTGACTCAAATTGTGTCTGACCACATCCATACTGACTAATCAGAAATAACCTCAAGCACAACCCCTACTTTTCCATAAATGCATATATTACTATTCCTAATGTCTCTAGGAGACATAAACACTAGCTCAGTGTTTATTTTCGTTGACAAGAGTCAACGAATTTCAGCACACAAGCCAAATCTGGCCCACTGCCGTCTTTAATAAATAAAGTTTTATTGGAACACAGCCACACTCATATTCATTTCCATGTTGTCCATGGCTGCTTTTGCCCCATGGTGGCTGAACTGAGTAATTGTGACAGAGACCTTATGACCTGCAAGCCTAAAATTTTACTATCTAGGGACACCTAGGTGGCTCAGTCAGTTAAGTGTCTGCCTTCAGCTCAGGTCATGATCCCAGGGTCCTGGGATCGAGTCCCCCATTGGGCTCCTTGCTCAGCAAGAAGCCTGCTTCTCCCTCTGCTTGCCACTCCCCCTGCTTGTGCTCGCTCTCTCTCTCTCTCTCTGACAAATGAATAAACAAAATCCTAAAAAATATATATCTATTTACTATCTAGCCACTTCTTGAACAAGAAGGATAAAATACAAATATTTTGATAGTTAATAAGATAAGAACACATTGTGTTTCAAAGGAACACAACATGGGAAACAGTGAAGTCACCATGCCCTCTCCAGAATACTTGCCTTATAATTTATAGTCAATAACTCTAAGCTTACTTTACCTTACAAATGGACATAAATAGGACAGTGTTTTAAACTGAAAATGAACTCACGGTGGCTAGTTTCTGAACATCTTCATCTGACGCTCCCAGAGATGCCAGGCCTATTTCTTGTGAAAACTGAGCAAACTTAGGATCCGCAAGTAGTGGAACATGTCCCAGGAGTTCATGGCATGTGTCTCTGACAAGAAAAACATCGTAAAAAAAAATATTATACGAAAGGCTTTAAACTATCACTGGTAGAACAGGACTTAAAATCATAAATATAACCTTGGTTTATAATTAATTGCTGTGACCAAATTTCATCAAATCTAAGACTTTTTTTTAATCACCTTTCAATATCTCTGAAATCCAGATGCACCTTACAATTCATAGCATCTTCAATTATATGATATCCAAAATTTGTAATAAATAATAGCAATGACTATTTTCAAGTGTTTACCATATGCCAACCACATGGTAAGTGTTTTATTACATTCACTATCCCTTTTAATCCTCAAGAGAAACTTAGAGAATTAAAGTAGCTTAACAGTACAAAATCCGATAGAGCAGGGGTGGGCAATCTACAGTCGCAGGACAAATCTGGCCCACCACCCGTTTATAAATAAAGTTAATTGGAACACAGCCATAGCTCATTCGTTTATGTACTGTCTATGGCTCTTTTTAACTAAAACTGCAGAGCTGAGTAGTTGTGACTAAGACCATATGGCCCGCAGAGCCTAAAATATTTACTAGCTGGCCCTCTACAGAAAAAGTTTGCCATGGTGATAAAGCCAAAATTTGAATCCAGCTTATGGTGACTTCTACACTGTTGCTTTTTTTTAACCCTTAAGTTGCACATACTGCCATGTTACACTTCACAGACACCAGGACACAGCAGAGGATCATATTGTCATCCTAAAAGTGGCTTTTCCCATCAACGAGTTATCTGCCTATAACACAAGCAACTCCCTTGAACTTGCCCAGTGGAGAACCTTCCCAGTCCTCTGCTTTGGTTCACCTGAACTAGAAAATAACAGAAGCTTAGATCTGCTCTCATTTGCCTGAGCTTCCATTTGGAGCCAAATGATCAGGCAAAGGCAGGTACATGTCCCAGGGAAGCAAGGCAGATGCCTTCCTGAGTCATTGCCATGAATCACAAAGTGTTCCCTGATCCCAAGCTATATTTGAATGAATCCCCCTATGATTCTCTGGGAATGGATCAAGAAGATGCAAAATTTTATTTTCCTGGCAAAAAGGAATCAGCCAGGTAGTATTTGAAAGATGTTTCCTAACTTCACCTGGGTTCCTCTCAAGTGTATCACTTCAAATAGATGCTAGAATATAAATGCCAGGTGCTGCCACTATGATTAAAAGTATAAAGTACGTTGGGTGGTTATGCGGTTGAAGCAAATCGATGGTGGTCAAAGGCACAAGATTGATGCCCACATAAAACAGATGGCATTACTCAATCAAAAAATCTTGTTCCCGCAACTCAAACCACATCCCCAGCCTTGGCCAGCCACTTCATAGGTATATCAGGTTGAAAAGGCAGCCGAATGAGAATATGGAGACAGGATACTAAAAGAAATTCCCAATTTATTCCCTGTCAACTGTGTGCCAATAGCTTTCTTTTTACACATGACTGAATGTGTGGAAAAGAATACATGGTTGTTACTCTCCAATCGTATTATTTAAGGCAGAGAATCAGACTCATTGGATTTTAGGGCACAAGGAGAATTTAAATATTATATGAGTCCTTCATTTTACCTATAAAGACATTAAAGACAGAAGGGAAAAAAGAAAGAAAGCGAACATATTCTGAGCTCCTATTATGTGCTGGGTACTACACTAAATGTTCTCATATCGTATCAGTAATTTATCTTTACTTACAAAGAAGTCTTATGATTCCCATTTGATAGATGGGGAAACCATAATTAAGTAAATTTAAGCATCTTTCCAAGGTCACACTCTTAATAAGAGACAGACAAGATTTGAAATCAAATTCTTCTGACTTGAACCTGTGCTCTTCCTGCTCTGTTGTTTTATCTAGCAGATGTGGAGTAAGTAGGAAGGGATAGGTCAGGGGGCACCGCTTACATGGTAGAGAGAGAGTTTAACCAAGCTGGTTAGCACAAGTAAAAATGCAGTCAGTATGTTGCAAGTCTATTTTCCTGCCACTCAGTGGCCCTGAATCCTCTAAATTACTTGAGGAGCCTTTTTAAAAATACCAGTGACCAGGTCTTATGTAAAACCAATTCAATCCAACTCTCCCGGATAGACCAGAGCATCTGTATTGTTTCAAGAGCTCCGAGGGTGCTAATGAGACACAGCCAAGGTGGAGACCCACTGTCGTAACAGATGATGCTAGGAGCTCTCCTAGCAGGCTTCGAGCAGCAAGGAATTGAAACGAAAGCCAAATGTGATTTTGTAATTTTGAGCTGCCTAAATTTAATTCCACTGAAATTACATCAGAATACTGGGGCATAATGAAAGGTGGTGATAGAAAGTTCACTAGGTAGCTAATTACTCCTCTGCATGCATTTGATTTAGTTAAAGCATCTAATACCCCTATGCTGGGAGTAGACCCTATTGATGCACTCCCGTGACCAGTTTTTTAAAACATCATACAGTCTGCACTGATGTTGGGATTAGGATCAAGTGGCCCACCATGGATAAATCTGAATACCTCCACTGTAGCCTATAATGCAAATACTAAAGCACCCCTACCTATCCAGGCAGAAAATATGACAACGATAATTCCAAAATTAGACCAGATGTCAAGCTTTGGGGAAAACTGAAGGCGGTGTAAATAAAATAGGTAAGTGGAAACTAAAATAACGAGTATTGTGACCAACACATTATCGAATGCTTGCTATGAGCCAGGCCGTGTGCTAAGTGCTTCGTCATGTGAGAACAAGACAGGTCACGGCTACCATGACAGTTGATTCAGGGTGCAATACAGGATTTACTTTTGAGCTTGTTAAATCCTTGAAGAAGGCTGCTGCCGAAGATAGTCTTCTATCTACCTAGGTACTAATGGAATTCAAAAATGTACAGGTGTGGGTGCCTGGGTGGCTCAGTCATTAAGCGTCTGCCTTCGGCTCAGGTCATGATCCCAGGGTCCTGGGATCGATCCCCACAACAGGCTCCCTGCTCAGCGGGGAGCCTGCTTCTCCCTCTCCCACTCTCCATGCTTGTGTTCCCTCTCTTGCTGTGTCTTTCTCTGTCAAATGAATAAATAAAATCATTTAAAAAAAAATTTTTTTAATGTACAGGTGGAAGGAAAAGTGAAGAGGTGGCAGCCAAAAAGGAAAAAAGAAGGAAAATACTAAGATCCAAAGACATTAAGGAGTCAATTCCCTGTAATAAAAAAAAGGAGCTATCACCTAGATTTTAAGTTAAGGTGTCATTATCTGATAACTCATAGCCAACTTAAGAACCTTTAATAACATTCAAATGACAAGGTAATCCAACTATTCATAGATGAGGATAAAAGAATAAATTTGAAAGGATGAAATCATACAACATGGCAGAATATACTGTTTCATTAAGAATGAAAGTCTGGGGGTGCCTGGGTGGCTCAGTCAGTTAAGCTTCCGACTCCTGATGTCGGCTCACATCTTGATCTTGGGGTTGTGAGATCAAACCCACGTCTGGCTCCATGCTCAGCAGGGAGTCTGCTTGAGATTCTCTCTCCTCTCTCTTCCTCTGCCCCTTCCCCCATTCCCACTCACACTCTCTCTCTCTAAAATAAATAGGCAAATCTAAAAAAAAGAAAAAAAAAAAAGAATGAAAGCCTGAAGCAAGGTGTCTAACAGAATTACTGATGGAACGTGAGAGATGCCCTACACCCTGTTATAAGTAGAAATGCTAGTGCTGTATCTCACTGGTTTGTGTCCTCTTCTCAGCTCTGTGTCCCCGCGTCCCCGCAGAGACCCTGAGGAAGAACTGCCACTCCGATTCCTGAGCAAGTGTGTGTGTGCAGTATGGACAGTAAGCCCATTTCTCATTGAGCCAAAGCTTTAAGCACCTATATTTCAAGACCAGAAACAAGGTTATCGTCTTCTATGACTGGTGCAACGTTCTCAGAAATAAACTCCATCCCTGTGTCTTTGGCTTAGACATGGGGTGTAGACAAAGGAAACCGAAGTGCCTGGAAACCCTTCAACCAAACAGTGAAGGAAGATGTTTAATGTTACTAAAGATGTTTAAAATTACTTAACTTCGAAAAGTTTCTTTAGTTTCTGTGACACTGAAGGATTTAGAAGCTGAGGTTGACTGTGACTCAGAGCCTGAAAGAGGCTCCAGACTATTGGGAATCTGAAGGAAAAAGGCTGAGTCTTTTCTCCAACCTCTGTATCAATCAGGTTCTGTTGGGCTGAAATCACGCGGTTTCGCCCTATTTTACAAAGTGCAATGGTTATTATGGCCAGCATATAAAGTAGTTCACGATCCCTCCATCGGTTGTGTCATCCACAGCTGGGACCCCTGAGTATCTAATTATGAACAGGTTTCCGAGGTGAGTCCACAACTGTTGCCTTATCACACCAGATCTCTCTTAAAAGATTCAATTATTTGGCTATAATTGCACCTGTCAGCACATGCTGCCTCCAATCTCCACGTCGGCAAACTTTTCTCTTTTTAACTCGCATCCCTTTGATGCATTTTCGCCTGAATAATGCTTTCAGAAGCTTTTCACAAAAGCGCTCTGTTCACTGGAAATGTAGGACCTTTCAAAACTGTTAACACTGTAAAACATCATGTCTCCTTTTAAAAAAAAGAAAGAAAGAAAGAGAAAGAAAAGCTAGAGCTGATATCAGACTCTACACTTTTGCTGCTCTAAATTGGAATCTTCTCTGATAAGCCCTGTTAGGAGGATTTTAAAGCCTGCCGAAATGGGCCCACAAAAGGGCCTGGGCAAAATGCCTCCGGGGAATTCTTAGATCATTCTAAGAAAGTCGCGATCATCTTGCCGTGGGGAAATAAGGGTCCTGGTTGTTAAGTTCACATTCAAAATGAGTCTGGCATTTTTCTCCTCTTACCAGTTTTCAAAGCTGACTCCTCACGCCACGTGTTGAACAACTCCTTTTTATTTCTGCTGTAAATTAAAGCCTTTAAGAAGCAGTGAGCCAGCATCCAACATTGGCTTCCCATCCCAAATCAGTGCATCTGTCTTTTAAATCATATTTCTATAGGTTT